TTCAGAGTGTTTTGTCAGCAGACAGTTTCTGTACAGCTGGTAGGACTGAATAATTCCCACTACTGAGGAAAAGCTTAGCTTGAGAGATTAAAGGGCACTAGCAGGTATTTAGTAAATCAGACTGCTCTATAGACCTTTTTGTTTGTTTGTTTATGTAAAATGAATTTTCAAAGTTGTATAGGAGAAATAAGAAACTGAGTTCCTGCTACAAATCAAGTATCCAACACCTTTATGAAGGAAGGGGACATATTTCCTTTAGAAATGTTAACTTTGTGTTTCTATGGAGGGAGAGATTTATTTTTAATCATTTCATAAAGTTCTGAAGAACATTTTTAATAGCATAGTTGCAACCATGATGGTCTAAAGTCATTGTATATAAAGAGACAGGTTTGTAGACAGAGTTTTTTTTTTTTTTAAACTAGATGGCTGATACAGTTGCAAATGAAAAACAGACACGCTTTTGGGCACACAAACCTTAGGTTTTAAGTGGAAGTGGCAAAACCATGTTTGAAATTGCAAACAAGCCAGAACTTTTTTTTCTGCTAAATCTATGTGTGTCACTTCCAAGTGACAAATTACACTATTCAAAACAAACGTTCTTATACAACCTAACAGAAGCAGAAAGGTGTGGGTGCAAACAGGAGTCTTGCCATTGACTTCCATGACTCTGCTAATGTCACTTTTCATAACTGTGTCTGAGTTTTATTTGAGTTCTTCAGACCAGCACCGGCCAGACACCAATCCCTTAGTGACAGCTTTTTGATTTCCCCAGACTTAAGCTCAAGTGGAGGTGAGAGGTTTCTTTGGCCAATACAGTCTTCTTGTACATCAAATTAAATTATGTTATGACCAGTACAAACGGAGAATCCAATTTAAGGAAATAAAATCTACTGGCTACTCTAGAACTAGATTTAAATAAAATTTAGCCATGTCCAGGCACTATTGCTAGAGAGGCATCATGCTGCTTTGAACCCCCATTTCTTTCAGCACAACCTCTTAATGTTTCCCAAACATCAGCTCAAATGCAAGGCCATCTGTACAAGCTGCTAACTACTGGGAGGCTAGTTTTGAGAATCAGCTTGATACAACAAGGAGAAATGCATTTGAAAACAGTGCAGAGGCAGCGTTTGGGAAGGATAAAGAACAGCAAGTATCCTAGTCTTCCTGAAAAGTTTCTATAAACTTTAGCCTTTGTTGTTTTTTTGGTGGAAGCCACTGATTTCCAGAAGCATGAGTACATTTGGCTTATCCGCTGCCGTTATATGTTCCGTTCTCCTACCAGAAAGCAGAGTTTCATGAGGGTAGATCATTTTTGCTATCTATGCATACATTTCATCTATCTCTGTGCTTAGCGATACAGGACCCAAACTTCATCTCATGGAAGAGAATCCAAAATTACTTCCCTGCCTTCATGGGAGTTATTCTGAAATGACACATGTACCTAGGACTCACTATGTGTCAGCATATCCTATTGACTGAACCATTCCAGGATTGTAATACAGCTCTAGTTATATCTTTTACAATTGGCAAATATATATAATTGCTCAGCTGTTTGCGTGGCTGGTCCTTTTTGTTTTAAAAATTCTGTATTGACTTATTCTAAGCAAAGGAAAGACAAATCACTATTTAAAAGTTCAACTCTTTTGACCTGAAGCCCAAAGTCATTAGCTGAGCATTTATTTAAAGTTCTAGTTCGTACCATTTCATGTCATACTTGCTCATATAACTCAATTAGGAGAGACTGCTCAGTCTGACTTTTTAAGTATCGTAATAAGGGAATTTAATATCATGGGGCTCATCATGGGGCTAATATCATAGGCAGTTGGGGCTCCACAGCTACATGTGGATAGCTTTTGATTCCCAAATGTTCAGGAGATTTCGCAGTTTCTATTTACTGCACTTCAAACTCAGATGGAACCATTTGGAGTCTAAATTCTAGATTCTAGCTTTCTGCCTTATGCCAGTCACATTAAAGGTTAGACCTTAAATTCCTGCACTTTGTCCTCCGAGTTCATAGATATCATTACAGAGATTCAAAATATGAAGAACTGACCACAAACATCAGGAACCAGCTTCAGCAGCTATTTAGCTTTCATGTTAAAATATGTGCAGTTTACTTTCTGTTTGAACTTTAATAACCTCAGCTTCCATCCATGTAGCTGAGGCTTTGCAGGATTTTTTAAAGAGCCCTCCTTATCAGATTGCCTTTCTATTTAGGGGGATTTGAGGAGGCAGCAGATTTCTATTTCATTCTGTTCTATATGTCATGCTTTGGTTGTTGAGGTGATTACAGCTTCTGTATTTCAATCTTATTTGAGATTGTTACCTGGCAAACTTTGTTTTTATAATTGTATCCTTTTGCTTTGAGATGCAGTCACAACAATGCTTGTTGATTAGTTTTCAAATGAATAAAGAAGGGGATTCAAAGCAAATTGTTTACCAAAGGGATATTAGATCATAAACTCAAGAGGATTTTTCTCACCTATCAATCAGAGCTGAGCATATTCATTCCCAATCTTTCAAAACCCAGTCATGTACCCTCTCTAGCAAACTGATGGATGGTTACACTAAAAATGAATTAAACAAGTATCCCTTATCACTATGCAAAGCCCCAATTTGTTCTATTTAGACCAGCAGACCATTATAATACCAACTTTGTTATTGATTAGTGTTAGACACCAAAAGACAAGTTCCCCGGAATATTACATGCTCGTTCACTTCCCAGCTATTTGTATTGTGAAGAGTGTGATCCTGGCAGCAGTAAGCAGCATGGATCTACTGGTTTCTATCCCTCACTATTCCTAGGGACACTGCTTTTCTGTGTCCAGATGGGGTGTATGCAGGAGACACCTGCTCGAAGTGGGAATATCCACACACAAAGCACAAAATCCCTTTAGAAGGTAACAAGGAGATGACAAATTTGTTTAGGGGGCTCCAAGTTCACCCATAACTTTCAGTACCATTGCACCCTGCAAGACCTGCTGTAGACATCTACATCTTTTACCGCATTTGGCTGTGTTATGATGGGACCAAGTGCCCACCTCATACAGGCTGGTAGCACTTCCATGCAGCATAAGAGCAACACATTATCCTGAATTGAAAACAACCACCAAAATAATCGTCTGTGAATGATTTCATGCACTGGCTCACCTTAAATGAACACAGCTAATCCTGCGGGTAGGGTTACACTACTGTTGTCATTATCATATAAGCACAGGCTCTTTCCAGCACCACACAAGACAAGAGAGCATAAAAGCTAGGAGAGCAGCACAGTTCCAGCTCCAAAGAATGCATGATCCAACACCTGGGCATTAAGAGGGGCTCTCCAGGAAAGACATCTATTACTCTTCTTTTTATACTATTATAACCTGGCTTACTGTGTTACAAACCAAAAAAAAATAGCCCGGTAAGGTAGAGGGGAGAAGTGGCCGGAGAAAGTGGCTGGAGAAGGGAGAAGATATTTTCCAGCACCGAGGGCCAAGGCTCTTCTCAGGATTATGCAGACTAATCACAGACTAGGGCTATGACAGACTAGGTCCTTCCGCCCTCCCCTGGGCAGATCCAATTATAATAATTATTATTATTATTAAAGTGTCCTTGACTTCAGTTTTACTGTCATTTCTCAATTTTCTTTACAACTGAAGGTAATGCTAGTCACAGGGCTGTTTGCAGGACATCCAAAGACGTATCCTGCAGCCCCCTCACACCAGGAAGGGACAGGGTGGGAATGGGGAAAGCCTATGGCTCCCCTCGCTCCTTCACCAGGAGCAGCACAGGGAAGACGCACACGCTGATGTGAACATGGCCTCTCCTGGCTTCCTTGCAGAGTCTCAGCAAGACAAGGGACGACTCACCACACAAAAGTCCGAACCAACAAAAGAACTACACTCAACCGCTTCAGTGCTTTCTCACATTATCTCCCCTTTTCTGCTCTCAGAATCCAAGCCAAAGATCCTCCACATCCTGATGCCTGCTCCCATCAGACACGGTGACCTTTAGCTTTAGGTGACCCCCTTCCATGCAGCGCGTCACAGAGACAGGTGCAAGGGAATACAGAGAGCTCCCGTCCCTCAGGACGGCTTGGAAAACACATATACCGAAGTGCTGCTTAAATGCATTAACGTACACGCACACGCGCAGGGCTCCCGGAGGAGCTGGGGCACCGGCCGTGCCCCGCTCCCC